TCGGCCTGCTCCTTCCACAGCAGCACGCGGTTCTGCAGCAGCCCCCGGGCCTGGCGGGGATGCGGGGTCAGCAGGACCGCCGGGGCCGAGGGCCTTGCACGCTTGGGGTGGGGGGACCTAGCAGCTGGAGGGAGCCCCCGCGGAGGGGTCGCTTTGAGTCACCTCACACACACACACCCCCCGCTTTTACCAAAGGCGCCTCAGTTTCCCTTGTGGGGCTTCCCCTGTCTCCCTCGGTCCCAAGGTTTGGGCAGGGCTGTTCTGGGGCCCTGTGCAGCCTCGGGGATGGAGAAAAGCCCAGGGCCTGGCCCTGGATGAGCTCAGCTAGGGCAGCTACCCCAGAACTGTGACCCAAGAACACAGCCCCAGAACTGACCGTGGAACACTGACTGAAAGAATACCTTCGTCTGTCTGTAGGTTTTGCTAAATCGATAGAGGGAAGCCAAAGTGGGGAGCTAAAACTTTAAGCAACAGATAGTGGCAAATGTCTGACAAAATCATTTGTGCTCTTGGATCCAGCTGCATCTGAAATCCTTCACCTTTCCAGTTGGTTAAAGTAATACTTTTTGTTCCTGTTTCAGCCAGTTTGAGCATTTTTCTAAAAGCGGTCTTCATCCCTGCGGCCCACAGAAGCGTCTCTTTTCAAGGTATGCCCATCTCTACTTGAACACTTTCAGACATGGAGCTCAGAGACTCAGTATACTCTCCAGGCTGGCTTGAACTTGGGATCCTCCTGCCTCAGCCTCCCAGAGTGCCGGGATTACAGATGTGCACCACCACACCTGGCTCTTGGCATGGTTTTTCTTTCTTGTATTTTATGGTGCTTTTCCATCCTTGGGATTGGCGACTGTGGAGAGACTGCCCCTGCCTCTCAGGCCCCCATAGGAGGCAACTTGCCTGGGAGCCCGCCTTTCATATGCACCCTGATACAGAGCACCTATACCCATCCTCTACCACCTGACTGTCGCACACCCAGCCGATGTCCCCCTGCCCTGCTCACCCAGGGCCAGGGACCAGCCACCTGGAGACTCCAGCTGAAGCCAGGATCCTGCTGGAAGCAGGAAACCAGAACCGTGCTTTCCCCTCCTCAGCCTCCTGATCAACCCTAGTACTTCCGGAGTGGCACTACTGTGAACAGTATTCAGCGACACTGGCCTGTCTATGTTGTCACTGAGTCACCTCTGTAGATTAAATTCCAGATATAATCAAAACAACGCTCACCTGGGTATGGTGGCCCATATTTGTAATCCCAGCACTCTGGGAGGCTGAGTCAGGAGGGTCACAAGTTCAAGCTCAGTCTAGGCAACTCAGCAACTTAGTGCAAAGACCCCAGTACCACAAAACAACAAAAACACAGTGCTCTCCACTATAAAAGTCTGTCCCTTTTCTATTCAAACATCCAGTCCCCAAGACCAGCTCCAGACTGTCGCTCAAGGATAAGACAAGCTCCCCTTTCCTGTGCATTCGCTCCTCCCCGCTCTGCTCAATCTCTGTCTGCACTGCCTCCCTGAGCCTGGCAATCCCCACGGCAGGTCCTGTTATCTCCATCTTCTGGAAGGTGCTGTGGGGGCTCCAGGGCTGGCCTCCAGGTGTCAGGGATGTGGCCTGTCTTGGACAAAGCTTGCCAGGACTGACCGCACCTGTCAGTGATTTCTCCTTGATCCCGGCCCTGCTGCTGAAAATCTCACTGCAATGCCAGGCTTATGTAATGGGCTGAGTTTCACATCATGGGAGCACCCGGATGTTCCCCTGCGGTCACTCATCAGCAAAGCAGCACAAAGACAAACCCTGGAGGGCTCTGGGCACTTGTTTCAGGGTGCCACAAAGTGAGATCATTAAGGTCTATGTATTTGGTTTTGTTCAATTTGAGAACTTCAGTGGAGGACACCGGGATTCTGGGAGCAGTGACCATGGCACTGGGTCCCTGCAGGAACAGCACTGGCTTCCCTCAGCCCTACCCAAGCCGTTCAGCCAATGGGTGGGAAGAAACACTGCGTGACGTTGGCATTTCAAAACCATAGAAGATTAAGGAGGCTGAGTCAGGAGGATCATGAGCTCAAGTCCCACCTGGGCAACTTAGTGAGCCCCTGTGTCAAACCAGAGGAGAGACCATAGGAAAAAATTTAGAGTATTTATGGGAGCAGGGTAGGAAGCGAGGTAAAGGATGGGAGGGGAATAAAATTAAAGTTGAAAATAAATAAAAATTTTATGCAGCAGAAAAGCCATCCCAAGTATGCCAAAACCTGTAAACTCTAAAAGACTGATATATCTGACTAAATAAAAGATAATTTTTACATGACAGTCAAAGACTAAAGGATAACTGCCAAAGATAGTTGCAACTCATCAGCAGCATATATATCTCAAAATTGGAAGAAAAATGGAAGACAAGACTGAGATGTCCCCACTGGCCTGTGTATACCTTTTGGATTAGCCGAGCGCAGAAAGCTTGCCGACACCAAGAGGCTGGGATCTGGCTCCCCAAATTGCCAATGGAAGAGCTAGATTTTTTTTTTTTTTTTTTTTGGTAGCGCTAGGGATAGAACTTGGGAGTGCTGTAACCCTTGAGTTACATCCCCAGCCCTTCCTAGTTTTTTATTTGGAGACAGAGTCTTGCTAAACCACCCAGGCCAGCACAAAGCTTGCCTCAGCCTCCTGAGTGCTGGGATGACAGATGGGTGCCACCCATCTGCTACAGCCCATAGTCCTGGTCTCACCAAGTCCATATCTAAGCATCTGTCCTGGAGTCCACAAGTGCAATCAGCCCAGGGAGGCTGAGATGCAGGGGGGAGGGGCGCTGTTCACGACATCTGAGCTGAGGACCGAGTATTCTAGATGAACGAGAAAGGCGCCTTCGTGTGTTCAGGCGCTTCCGATTTTTGAAGTCTCGTTCTAATTGTGCATTCTGCTTACAACTACAGTAACAAGAAACTGTTTATGCTCGGCTGTCTTAGAACTTAGTTCCTGAAGCTCAGGTGGGTCAGGCGACAGGACACCCTGTCCAGTACCTGGGGTCCTGTCTGCTCCAGCTGCATCTCCTTCCTGCAGGGCGACCCCATGGGCCGGCCACCGTCATCCTGAAGCTGGAGGTTAACTGCTTAGGAGCTGGCGAGGAGCATCTTCAGAGCAGACAGAGAAGTGGCTGCTGAGCCCAGGAAAAGGGGAGAGGTGGTGGTCACCACCGCGAGCCATTAGGGAAGTGTAGTTGTGAACACAGAACTTCACACCTACTGGTGTGGCTTCGAGAAAGATAATGACACTGACCAGAGCAATCGGAAGTCTCACAAAAGCAGATGGGAATGTAAAATGGTGCATGAGGAAGCGCCTAGGGTGGGGTGAGGGTGTCTCTGAGAATGTGTACTATTCCAACTGGCGAAGGGGCAAAAGGAACAGTGGGTTATGGGAAGGAAAAGGAAGCCGGTCACACGGGACCAAGTATGGCAGAATGTCTGGAAGGGGCGAATCTTAAGACAGAAAATAGATTACACAGCTGGGCACACTGGCGCACTCCTCAGTCCCAGTTATTCAGGAGGCCGAAGTGGGAGGATCGCAAGTTCAAGTCCAGCCTGAGCAACTTAGCGAGACCCTGTCTCTAAAGGAAAAGTCAAAAGGACTGGGGATGTAGTCAGTGGTAGTGCATTTGCTTTGTATGTGTGAGGACCGGGGTTCAATCCCCAGTGCTATAAAAACAAACAGAAAGCAGATCAGGGCTTGCCTAGGGCAGGCAGAGGAGGGCTGGAGAATGGCAGGCAGGGGTACTGGCTTCTGGGAGTAATGAGAGTGTTGGAAACTAGATGTCAGCTCAGATGCATGTTGAATACATTAAGCACCACTGAATCAAACACGGGGGAGTTCTCCAGTGTGTGCTGGGACTCAGACAATGTGTGAATGTTTCCCCAAGAGGATACCATGCTGGGAGCTTGGGCCCCAGTGTGGTGATGCTGAGAGGTGCTAGGATCTTTAAGAGGTGGGGTCCAGCCAGGTGTGGTGGTGCATGTCTGTAATCCCAGCACTCTGGGAGGCTGAGGCAGGAGGATTGTAAATTTGAGGCCAGCCTGGGCAAGTTAGCTACTTAGCAAGACTGTGTTTCAAAATTTAAACTGGGCACATGCCTGTGATCCCGGCACTTGGGAGGCTGAGGCAGGAGGATCGCTATTAGTTGGAGCCCAGCCTGAACTACAAAGGGAGACCCTGCCTCAAAAAACAAAAATTTTTAAAAGGAGGGAAGGAAGGAAAAGTGGAGAGTTCTAGGAGGTAATCAGGCCATCGTGGCACCACCCTTGGAAGAGAATAAAGCTAGTTCTGGCCTGTGAATGAGTCTTTTCAAAGGTGTCACAGAGGGAGTTGACCCAGCATTTCTGTGTGTGGCTGCTTCCCTTTCTGTTTCTCCACCACATTGTGTCACAAACAAGGTGGCCCTTGCCAGAGGCCAACCAATGGGCCTTCCTGATCTTGGACTTCAGACCTCCAAAACTGGGAGCTAAACAAATTCCTTTTCTTCATAACATTACCCAGCCACGGGTGTTTCGTTAGAGCAACAGTAAACAAACTGAGACAGTGCATAAGTTGTATGCCATAAACTGTTTCTGTATTCCTCCCTCAAGGGTCCCTTTGTGATGATGAAATTGAAAAAAAAACACAAGACATAGCAGGGACTGACTGTCTCAAGGCTGACAGTCTGAGGCTTGCCCGTCCTGGTATACTCACGAAGGTCACTGTGCCCTGAAGATGAAATGCTGAAACCCAGCTGCCTACCTCCTCATGTCTTAAACTGTAAAAACAACATTTACCTTGGGCCAGGGATTTAGCTCAGTGGTTCCAGTGCCTGCCTCGCAAGCACAATGACCTGAGTTCTATCCCTGGTACCAAAAAAAAACCCCCCAACACATTTACCTCTACCTGCCTACCCTTTGCTACGTTCTGCCTCTGTGAGATTCCGCTTGCTCCCCTGGCCTGGCTAAAGGATAGATAAATATGGCAACAGACTTACAAATGGGGCTCAGACTCGGGAAGATGACTTCCGCTGGGCCTGCTAGCTAGAGAATCAACCTGCCTTTCCCTTCGATTCTCTGAGGGCCACTCTCTCCTCGGCCTGCCCTCCAAGTGCCATTTCAGTAAGGCTGAGCCTGCGCCTGGGGCTGGGTGTGCTGGTCGCACTGGGCCAATGCCAGCCTAGGCTGATACCAGTCACTGCCCCAGCTGTGCCTCCCTCCCTGGTCAGACACAGGCTCTGTGGGGCCTGGCAGGGAGGCCCCGGGCCACATGAGGCAGGAGTCTGTGGGCTGCGCACCGTGGTGGCTCAATGTAGGGATGCTTTGCCCTCCGTTGTGGAGGGAACAGGTGGGGCCAGGACCAAGTGCTGCCCATCCCCCTACACCGGCTGCCATCTCTGCCTCGACCCTGGGGTGGGAGTCACTTCCCTCCTTTCCAGATAAGAAAGGAAGGCCAGGGAAATGAAATCCCTTGCTGGAATTTGCTGCTGAGTTTGGTGGTTGAGAAACAGCGCGAATAGAAAGAAATAGGGCACAGCAGCAAGAGGCAGGACTGGGGGAGGGCAGGAGCCATGTTTGTGGCACCGGGAGAGAGTTGCTGGCTGGGTGGCCAGGGACGCGCATCAGATACACCGGAGAGCTGGGAGCGGGCGTGTCTTCTGGGCTAAGAACGGACGAGTGAATGATGAATGAATGGCACTGGGAAAGTTAAGGGACAAAGTCATCCAGGGTGGGGAGGCAGTAGGAAGATGGGCCAGGACGGGACTGCACGGCCACCTGGGCAGGGCAGCCCCAAGTGTCCATCCTGCATGTGGCCGGGGAGGGCTGCTGTTTCCTGAGCTTGGGAGCCCACGGGCCTGGGTTGCTGCTGGTGCGTGCATTCCTTGGTGACACTCAGGAACAGGTGGGTGGGCTGTCTGGTACACATACTTACGAGAAGATGACCTCTGTGTGCAAAGAAAAAGTGCTCCTCTTCCAGGCAAACACAGACTGCGCTGGTGCCTTCAACTCGGAGAGCAGAGCCCAGCAGCTTCTATTCTTAACCTGGTACCCTTGTGCAGTATACACCTTGTACAACTGTCCTGACTGCCCCATCTGCGCTGGTCCTTCACGTGGAGAGGCGAGGTTAATCCCTGTCCCTGACACTGAACAGGAGCTACTGCTTTCAACAGGGAGACCCGGGACAGAGTGGGGTCCTCCCTGTGCCACCGAGGAAAACTGGATGATTGGACAGAGCAGCACATGACCAGGGAAGAGATCGCTGCTCTGCCCGCCCACCCAGATTCTCCAGCCCTGCGGCCCAAGGTCCTTGCCACTCAACTCAGTGGAGGCCTGAGTGGAACATGCAAAAGCAGCAGACACTGGGGTGCAGGGAGTGGTGGCGCCACGCTGACCCTGAGCTCTGATGGGGGCGGCTTTGAACGACACGCGGGAGAGTCTAAGACTGGAGGTTGAGCACAAGACCTCAAAGAGAGGGGCACCCACCGACGGTCAGGAGGTGAAGAGGATGCGGTGAGGGACAAGGTCACAGACAGTGGTAGGACGGGTAGAGGGGAGGAAAGGTCATGATCACGGAGCCAGCAGAAGGGGCCTCCTTGACCCAAGGGTGTCCTGACCATGGCATCACTGCAGTCCTGCCCAGCTCTGGGCCCTGGGGTCTAGAGGATGACTCCAGGCACCCACAGAGAAAGAGCCAGGCACAGCCAGCACAGGCTCTGTGTGCCCAGAGCTGAGTGCTGTAGAACAGGGGACCACGAGGCACAGGGCCTGGGCTTTGGAGCCCCTCCTGGACAGTTGCCTCCCACCAGGCCGGACAGGGCAAGCCACACGGGGTGCTAGGGAAGGTAGTGCAGGAGATGGAGAGCGGTGAAGGTTCTGGAGATGGAAGGCCAGGCCGCAGAGACGACAGCGAGGGTGTGGACCCAAAGTCCTGGCTATCTGGGAAAACCCAAGGGGTGGGGGGTGTGGAGGCGGAAGGGAGGCTGGGCTCTCCTGAGATCCCTCCCAGGCTGCAGCGAGGGGATGCTAGGCACTCTGGGCAGGGACACGGCAGTTTTGGAGAAAGTAAATCATGAGGCCTACAAAGGAGAGACCCCAGGAGTAGAGAGGAGGGGTAGAACGTCCCAATTAATAAGCGGAACAAGGGATCAACAGTAAATCAACCTAACTGGCAAGAATGTGAACGGGAGAAAAGATGAAACAAGAAGTAAATCAGTCGGCTTGGGTCAGCGAGGAGCAGTAGAATCAGGTGCACCAGTTGGTTGTTAAAAGGCAGTGGCTGAATTCCTACTTGTCCAACTGGCCACAAACCATACATTAGCAACAGAAAACAAACTTTCAAATTTAACCAGGTATGGCGGCGCACGCCTACAATCCCAGCACTTAGAACGCTGAGTCAGGAGTATCACCACCAGTTGGAGGCCAGCCTGGGCTTCATAGTGAATTCAAGGCCAGCTTGACCTATCTGTGAGACCCTGTCTCAAATAAAATAAAACAAAAAACAGATATAAAGAAAAAGAAATGTGAAAAGAGCAATACTAGTACCAGACAAAGTAGAATTAAAAAGCATCCATTAAAAGAGCCCTTAGGCATGTGAAAAACAATATTTACAAGCCAGGTGTGGTGGTGCATGCCCATAATACCAGCACTTGGGAGGCTGAGGCAGGAGGATCACTATGAGTTCAAGGGACGCTTGGGATACATAGTGAGCTCAAGTCCAGCCTGAACTGTGAGACTATTTCTCCAAAGAGAGAGGGAGAGAGAGGGAGGGAGAACAAGGTACCCAACAACACAGCAGCTAAACACAGAAAACAAAATTCCCTAGAAAGCCAATGAGAAATGAGAGATCTAACGGGTCTAGCAGATAGGACAAGCCAAGAGCATAGCGGAATTAAATGATGCCATAAAATGGATGAACAATAACAACAAATCCACCAACAGATGAGTTCGTGAGTGGCGAGCACATGTGCTCGGGAATAAAAAGCCGTGGTCCACGGGGCGCGCGTGCCTTAGTGAATGCCCGTGGAAGTACAAGGATGGCGATGTGAATAAACACAGAAACCAATAAACTGGGTGACAGAGGAAAATCAATTCCTACACAAGTAGGGGAAGAAGGGCGACGCCTGGGTGGAGCCAGCTCAGGAGGGCGCGGCTGGCCACGCCCAGCTCTACTCACCCGGCCGAAGAACTTCAAGAGGGTGCTGGACAGCAGCAGGTGCTTCTCGGCCAGGAAGCGGTAGCGCCGCTTCTCCTCCAGCTCGGCAGCGCGCTGGCTCTCAGACACGAAGGCCTGCATCTGCGCGTGCAGCCGGTTCACGCTCTCCTACGGGAGGAAGCTCTGGCTGGGTGGTGGGTGAGGGCGGCACCCTGTCCTTCCCCCGGGGGCCTCCCCCAGCACCAGCCCACCCCATCTCCTGAGCTACCCCTCATGGGCAGCCTGCTCCTTAGAGTATCGGCCCGGTGTCCCTCAGGGATTTGGGTCTCAGAGACGCGCCGGGATGGGAGGAGGGGGTGCTGCTGGGTCTCATCTTTGCTTCGCATTCCGAGCAGCAGGGCGGATGGCCTTGCTGGATAGGGGTGCCGGGGTTTTGAGAGCAGGGACTCTGGGGACAGCCAGAACCCAGGGCGGGCAGGAGGGCTATGAAGGGCAGGCCTGAGGGCCAGTGATGGGCCGGGGCCGGGTAGCAGGTGCAGGAGGGCACCAGTGTGACCGAGACCCGCCCACCTGCCCCCAGCCCGTGCACCTTCATCTCCCGCGTGTTCTTGTCCCTCTTGCGCTCCATGCGCCACAGCTCGGACCTGCACTGCTCCAGGTTGGCAGCGCGATGGCGATACTCGATCTCGTAGTGCTGCCGGCTGTCCTGGGCCCACAAGGAGATCTGCGCTCAGGGCTCAGAGTGCCACGCAGGGCTAACCAAGCGCTGCTCAGTGCCCAGGCTGGCCTCCGCCTGCCCATCTGCCCAGTGGGGAGGGGCCCCACCGTGGGCTGTGGCAGGGCGGGGCCGGACTCACTTTGAGGAACTGCACGTCCAGCTTGGTGTTCTTCTCCATGTGCTGCAGCAGGTCTCCGTGGAACGTCTGCACCTGGGTGCGGTGCCAGATGGGGGTGATCGGGGTGACGCTCCAGTTCCCAGGCCCCAGCATTCCCCACATTTTCGAATACAGGCGCCTGCGCACTTGCCAGAGCAATGGGGGTGACAAGAGCACCTCAGAGGGAGGGTTACCCGGTCAGGCATGCAGTGCCTGCCTCAAAACCCACCCTTGCCAAAGGTGTCTCAGCCTGCAACTCTCATCTTCAGGCTGGTCCTGAGTCTGTGCTTTACCTGTGTCATTCCTTCTGCCTGCAGTTTTCTACCAGTCTTCAAACGTCAGCTTCCCTGCCCCTCTGCTGAGAGCTCCCTGCTTCCCCACACAGAATCGGGGCCCCTCTTTGTTTCCTGAGAGAGCAGGATCTATTCTCAGGCACCTTCCGCATTCCCTGTCCCCTACATCCTCAGCAGCATGGCCAGAGCCTGACCCAGCAAAGGGATCCAAGCTGGGGAGGCCTTGGAAGGAGGAGGGTGTCAGTCCTCACGACAAGCGAGAAGTAGGTGCCGACCACGTGGAGGCCCAGGTCGGCTGCTGGTCTCAAGTCCCAAAGAGCTGCACCCCAGTTCTGTGTCTGTCTCAAGTTGTTCTGTGACTTTGGGCCAGTGGCGACCCCTCTCTGGGCTTCCGTTTCCCCATTTATAAAAGGAAAGACTGGGCCAGATGCTCTCTAAGGATCTGACAAGCTGTGCTGTTGTGGGCTGGTGGCCCCCTGGAATGTCCCCTGTACTGTCCATCAGCTTTCCTGGAGTCACTGCACGCCACTCGGTTGTGCTGTCCTGGGGTGCAGGCTGCATGCCCTCAGACCTCCCACGTCTGCAGCCCTCTGGGTGCACCCTGCAACCTTCGCCTGAGAGACTTCCTGCTGCTTGGGAGCTCTGTCCCTAGGTGGTGGGGGCAGCGCACCGCCCTGATATGCAGGGCTGCTCCTCTCCTCCCAGAGTGCAGGCAGTGAGTGCTCTGCATTTGTGAAATTGAAGTTTCCAAACTCCTTGGTAACGGCCATTCTCCAGGGAGCCGGAGAGCCCCCTCCCAGAGCCATGGCTGCCAGCCAGAGTGTGTTGGGAGACAGGTGTCAGAAAGTGTCCCACAGGTGTGCACACATAGGAAAACACAGAGGAGAGACACGAATGGTCACAGAAACCACAGTGAGCAGGCCGGGTACAATTGCCGTGGACAGGAAGTTCTGGAACCCGAGCTGTGCAAATTTCACAGTGGCCCCTTACATCTCACGTCCTTGCCTGTCCCACCTCCTCCTGGCCCGGCTTCCCACCACAGACACAGTCCAGGACTTCTGCTCAGCCCCACGCATGCGTGCCCGGTCATTCTCTTCTGCACGATCACCTAACAGAAACAACAGGCTTCCAGGAGGCACAGGGTTGGGACAGAGCCCTGCATCCAGGCCACTTTGTAACAGAACACTGACTTATACCGACAGCAAAGGTACCTAAAAGCCACAGAACATTTTAAATGCACAATGCGAGGCCTGCTGGAACCCTTAATGTGGACCAAATGGGCCTCCAGATGATGCTGTGCGAAGCGGGACTGGACCAGTGGGGGTGTCACTGGTGGCAGGGAGTGGCACGGCCACCTGGAGGGCCCTGGCACTGCCATGGAGAAATGGAGCTCCAAGTTGGCACTCCTTCCTTTTCTGGGCACTCCCTGCGTCTTGTCCCATTCCTTGGGCCTAGGAAAAACCACTCATTGTCCACAAGCCGACCTCCCAGCATGCAGTTTGCTCCCTGAGCAGAGGCACAGGAAGCTGAGGGCAGACAGCTGCACTGTGGGGACCATGCTCTGCTCTCTGCAGCAGCCAGCCCATCACGCCCAGGAAGTCCTCTTGCCAGCCTTAAGGGAAAGCCCTGACCCAACCCCTCTCCTCCTGAGCCCCCTGCAGTCAGGCTGTCCACTGTGACAAGAGTTTGGTGAAAATGTTTTTGTCAAGGCCGGGTGTGGTGATGAACCCCTATGATCCCAGCTACTCAGAGGCTGAGGAAGCAGGATGGGAAGGTCAGGGCCAGCCTGGGCAACTTACCAAAAGCCTGTCTCAAAATAAGAAAATAAAGGGCTAGAGATGTAGTTTGGTGATTGGGCTCCCCTCATACTGCAAATGCAAAACAAAACAAGAGTTTGGGCCAATGTTTTGTTGAAATCACTGATGACTCCTTTGACTTGTCTTGTTATTGCCAGTCCACACAGCTGGCCACTTCTCCTCCTGGAAACACCTCCTTCCCCAGCTCCAGCTCAGCACCGGCTGCTGACTCTCTCCCACCTCCACTGCACACCTGGTCCTCAACCTCCCTGAGCCCTCACGGGCAGGTCACCGGGCACAGAACTTTGGCCCTTCTGTTATCTCTACCTGGGTGTGCTCACCCAGCCCAGGCCTCCGATGGACACCTGGAGAGTGAAACTGACAGTGCCACCCATAATGAATTCAAAGATTATCACCCTGGAAGGGGCGGGGGCTTTAACTCAGTGGCACCGTGCTTGCCTTGCAAGTGCAAAGTCGTGAGTTTGATCCCCGGTACCACACACAAAAAAAGTATCACCCTGGAATAAATCTAGGCCAGGACACACAAGACTGCTATGCTGCGAAGAGAAAAACACAACTATCAGAATTCCATCAGGCTTTCTGGAAGAAATTGATAAGCTAATCCTGTAATTCACATGGAAATGCAAAGGGTCTTAAATAGGCAGAAATAATTTTGAGAAAAGAAGAGCAAAGTTCTTAGTACTTGATTTTGGAATTTGACTACTGTAATTAATCCTGTAATTCACATGGAAATGCAAAGGGTCTTAAATAGGCAGAAATAATTTTGAGAAAAGAGCAAAGTTCTTAGTACTTGATTTTGGAATTTGACTACTGTAACTGATACAGGCTGATAATGGTGTGATTATAATAAGTATATCAATGGATTGATAAATATATCAATGGAACAGAATACAGAGTCCAGAAATAGTCCCACACATATATCGCAAATCAATTTTTGACCAAGACGTCACATCAATTCAATGGGTAGAGAAGTCTTTTTAAAATGGGTTGAAAGGCTGGGGATGTAGCTCAGTAGTGCCGTGCCCACCTGGCAAGTGCAAGGTCCTGAGTTCAATCCCTGGTACCGAAAGAAAGAAAGAAAGAAAGAGAAAAGAAAGAAAGGGTTGGAGTCAGAAGATACGGTGATAGATGGCTGTAATCCCAGTGCTTGGGAGGCTGAAGCAGGAGGATCACCAGAAGTTTGAGGCCAGCTTGAGTTACGTAGGGAGTCCTGAATTGTATAGTGAGACCCGGTCTCAAAAAAAAAAAAGTTAGAACAATTGATTATCCACACAGAGAAAGATGAACCTTGACTCACTCCACATACAAAAATCAATCTGAGGGAGGAGGGGGTGAAGGGAGGGCAGGGACAAGGGGAAAAAATGAGAATCAAGAATTGTCATGTGAAGGTACAAGATCCCAATACTGAATATAACTGTATTGTATACCTAGACTGTACCAATAAACTCAATAAAAATTTAAAAAAAATTATTTGGAAAAAAATAAATCTGAGATGTATCACAGAAATAAATGCAAGGGCAAGGGCTGGGGATGCAGCTCAGTGCCACAGTGCCTGCCTGGCAAGCATGAGGCTCTGAGTTTGATGCCTGGTACAAAAAAAAAAAAGAAAGCAAAGCTCAGAAGAATATAGAGTTTCTAGAAGAAAACCCAGGAAAATATTTTGGCCATGGGGTAGATAAAGATTTGTTAGATAGGATATAAGTATGAACTATTTAAAAAAAAGTAAAATTTTTACTTATCAGAGATGACAGTGGTGTGAGAAACCAAAAGCGGAAATAAGGACCAAAATGTATGGTGGATGTTGGGAAATGGGAAGAAAGTTTTCAATGGAAACAAAGCTTTTGTGCATAGGGAGGGGAGGGGTTGGACAGGGGGAATGGGATAAAATAAAATTTGTTTAAAAAAAGGTGACAGTGCCGGGTGTGGTGGCGCATGCCTGTAATCCCAGCACTCGGGAGGCTGAGGCAGGAGAATCGCTGTGAGTTTGAGACCAGCCTGGGCTACATAGTGAGTTCCAGGTCAGTCTCAACTACATAGTGAGACCCTGTCTAAAAAAAAATAAAAAAAGATGAACAGTGTTATAGAGAAGCATCTGACGGAGGAGTCCTCCTGTGACTACATAAAGAACTCCCAGTGTCAATGATAAGAATGACACAAAACATCCCTCACGGAGGAAGTGCAGAGCGGAACCCAGTGAGATACCGCTCCACCCTCCCTGGGAGAGAGACCGGCCACTCTGAAAGGTGGCAAGTACTGAATGGCACGAGCTCACTCTGCCGCCGAGGGACGGAGGGCACAAGCGCGCCAGAGAATCCAGGCCACTTCTCACAAAGCTAAGCCTACGTCAGCGCCGGGCCGAGGGCTCTCCCTGCAGGAGCCACCGCCTGCCCACAGAAAGACGGAGAGGAAGTTCTCAGCAGCCGTGTTCCTCCGAGCCCACAGCAGCCTCACTGAGAGACACCTCAAATGGGCATCGGGGCAGGGGTGGCTACAGAGATAGTGACACTCGCACACCACGGGTACCAAGCAGTGAAGTGATGCACAGTACTAGCACATGCGACACATGTGACAGACCTCACCGCATACCAGGAGCTGGACACACAGAATCCCTGGAGTCCAACCCCACCGTGCAGAGCTCTGTCCGTCCGAAGTGGGAGAATCAGTCTCAGAAGGCAGAGGGGAACGGGGCTGTCCCAGGGAGGGGAGAAAGATGAGGAGGACACGGAACTTCCTGGGCTGATGGAGCCCCACACAACCACTGGCAAAAGTCAAAACTCATTAAAATCAACACTGAAACTGGGCGTGGTGGCACACATCCGAATTCCCAGCATTCAGGAGGCTGAGGCAGAAGGATCACATTGAGTTCAAGGACAGCCTGGGCTACATAGTGGGTTCAAGGCCAGTGAAACATTCTCGCTCTCAAAAAAAAAGAACTGGTCATTTA